GTGTGGGCAGCTGGACAGGCAGGAATGGGGTTGGGGACTGTAGATAGGGAGCGGAGCATCTGCTGTGCTGGGTTGTGCTGCCAGCACAGGGTTTCCTTCCTGCGAGCGAAGTGTAAAACCCAAGTCATCCAGTAAGGATTTACTACTGGGAGAGGGGACGATGGGGGGATCCTCTCTTTCTGCCCTGGCAGTGGCATGGGCTGGTAGAGGCCAGACAACCCAGCGGCTGGGGCAGGCAGCACTCAGCATGGCCCCTCCAGCCGAGTGTGTGGGATGGCAGGGCTGATGCCACCCACCCAGCTGGGCAGCTCCAGGCTCTACCGCCAGCTGCAGCGCTCGGCACTGTTCTCTGGTGGATGTGTGAGCTGTGGCCACTCGCACGGTGCTCAGGAGGCGGTATGGCCGATATGCATCTTGCAGGGTGCTCCTGCTGCAACCAGAGCCGGGAGGAGGGGATGTGACCTCTGGTTCCTCTTCCACACTCCAAGCCAGTGGCATGGGAGATGGGCGGTGTTCCCTGGGAGCCACCCAGCATCCCCTGGCCTTGTGCTCTGGCTACCAGGAGAGAAACCCAGACAAGTCCTTGCCTCCGTTAACAGACAAGCAAGACCTAGACCTGGGTTTCTTGGGGGTGAGGAGAATAACCTCCTTTTACCTGTGGGAGTACTGGGGTAGTGTGGCAGTGGGACTTGGAGGGGATCCAGCCCCCGGCCTGGAGAAGCCCATGGCCAGTGGGATGCTGCTGAGGTTGTGTCATGGCAGGGAAAGTGGTGCCAGCCCTGGCTGTGCCCCAGGGCTTCATCCTGGCATGCTTCTACCTGTTGCAAAACACTCTGCAAGGTAGTTTTGCTGCTGCTCCTTTCTCTTGAGCTGACGGGAGCTGTTTTGGGCTGCGGCTAGGTAACTTGGGGTTTGCAGCTACTGTCACAGCTGAAAGGTCTCCTCAGCTCTTCCCCACCGTCTCTCCTTGGCAGCTGTGCAGTGACGGTGTCTCTGAGCTGTGTGTGACAGCCGGGGCCACTAGCAGGCATGAGCTTTCCTGTTGCCCCTGAGACAGTTCATAAGAGGCCAGGGAAGGGCTTGACCCTGATTTCTACATACTCCTTCCAAACCTCAGCTCCTTCTGCCATTTCCCACAGTACTTAGCTCCTGCTGACGAGCAGCAAGGGATTGCTGTGGATAAGGCACCACAAAGTAATTGCCTCCCTGGCCCACTCCCAGGGTGCTGCATCAGTAGATGTGGGGTGGGAAGGCACGCACAGGTCAAGAGCCAGAGGTGGGGGTGTCCCCCATCCCTTACCAGCCTCCCCGTACGAGCAGTGCCGTGGCCGGCAGCATTCACTCTCTTTGCTCTCGCCCCAGGGAGGAGCCGCTTCCTTCTTCCCAGGAGGATGGAGGTCCTGCAGCTCCTGCGTCTGCTCCTCACCACTACCATGCTGGGCCTCTCCCAGACAGTGAACCCCTTCATGGCCCAGCAGACCCCCCCAGACCCTTGCTACGACGAAAGCGGCGCTCCTCGCCGCTGCATCCCTGAATTTGTCAACGCTGCCTTCGGGAAGGAGGTTCAAGCCTCCAGCACGTGCGGGAAGCCCCCGACGCGGCACTGCAATGCCTCAGACCCCCGCCGAGCTCACCCACCTGCCTACCTGACTGACCTCAACACCGCCTCCAACATGACGTGTTGGCGCTCGGAGACCCTCCACCACTCGCCCCAGAATGTCACCCTCACCCTCTCCCTCGGCAAGAAGTTCGAGGTGGTCTACGTCAGCCTCCAGTTCTGCTCACCCCGGCCTGAGTCCACTGCCATCCTCAAATCCATGGACTATGGCAAGACCTGGGTGCCGTACCAGTACTACTCCTCCCAGTGCCGTAAGATCTATGGCAAACCAAGCAAAGCCACTGTCACCAAGCAGAACGAGCAGGAGGCCCTCTGCACTGATGGCCTCACCGACCTCTACCCCCTCACCGGTGGGCTCATTGCCTTCAGCACACTTGATGGGCGACCCTCCGCCCAGGACTTCGACAGCAGCCCTGTGCTCCAGGACTGGGTGACGGCCACCGACATCCGTGTGGTCTTCAGCCGTCCGCACCTGTTCCGCGATCTGGGCGGCCGGGATGCTGGCGAGGAGGAGGGGGGCACCGGCTCCCCCCCCTATTACTATGCAGTGGGGGAGCTGCAGGTCGGCGGGCGCTGCAAGTGCAATGGGCACGCGGCGCGCTGCGTGAAGGACAAGGAGCAGAAGCTGGTGTGCGACTGCAAGCACAACACAGAGGGTCCCGAGTGTGACCGCTGCAAGCCCTTCCACTATGACCGGCCCTGGCAGCGGGCCAGCGCCCGTGAGGCCAACGAGTGTCTGGGTATGTGATTTTAAATTTTTTTTTTTTATTTTCCCTGGGGCTGAAACCCTAAAATGGGTCACTGGGGGAGGAAGCGATGGGTGATGGGCCAAAGTGATGGAGCGTGCTTGTCCAGAGATGCTGGGGAGCATCCCCCTTGCTGGAGGGCTGGAAAAGTCTCAAACATCTGCCCTGTCCCTGCTGTGGGTGCCTCCCCAGAGTTGTGGTGGTTTGGCCATGAGCCAAAGCACCAAAACACTGTGAAAAATCGCCGGTGTCTTCCAGCTGCTCAGCGAACCTCGGTGTGGGATGCAGGATACCCAGCTGGGGGTGTTTCCCTTGGGCAGCAAACCAGCTGTCCCTGGGCCGGGAGAAGGAATCATGGTGGTCCCCTGTGAAATGTGCTTTGGGGCAGGCAGCAGGCAGCAAAACCTGGCAGAGGTTAAGGAAATACTTGAGATACCCCAATTCAACATTTTATCGTTCGCATTTGGTCTGGCATGGTGCTTTGTGTGGCAGTTTTAGCTTGTCTGTCCTTGCAAAGGTTTCCATGAGTTAAAAATATTGTCATCAAAATGAAACATTTCCAAAATTTCAAACTGGCATGGCTTAGCTGTCCTGCTTACGAATCTGTGTAGGATTTTGGTGGAGATTTTTGCTTTTTGTCCTGATTTGGGATGGGTTTGGGGGATGCCAGGGCCCTGTGAAGGTCTGGGAGAAGAAGGAACAGCATCTTGCTCCTCCTGGACCAGAGCCCAGGTCCCAGGGGGTGGCAGGAGGATGGAGACAAGGGAAAGACGTACCATTAATCAGCCTCTGAAAGGCTCAGTGGATGTGCCAGAGGTCAGAGGGACTTGTTAGTATTTGTGATCGATGTCTTGTTGAGATCCCAGCTGTTGGCTTAAATATATATATGTTACAGCGGATTTCTTCTAAGAATGGCTAAAAAGGCAGTGGATTCAAAGCAAGAGCCAGAGCCAATGCTTCAAACCACCCCATGCCCCGGGGGAATGTGCATTTTCCTACTTGTCTCAGAAAGATGAGTTTTGGAGCAAAGCTCAGGAACCACCCCCCCAAGCCTCAACTCCACGAGCTGTTGGCTTAAATATATATATGTTACAGCGGATTTCTTCTAAGAATGGCTAAAAAGGCAGTGGATTCAAAGCAAGAGCCAGAGCCAATGCTTCAAACCACCCCATGCCCCGGGGGAATGTGCATTTTCCTACTTGTCTCAGAAAGATGAGTTTTGGAGCAAAGCTCAGGAACCACCCCCCCAAGCCTCAACTCCACGCTCTGCCTACGGCTAATCCTCCGGTAAAGCTGTGTGATGGCAGCGGTAGCGGCTCTGCCGGCGCAAAAGGGGGTAAACCGGAGGAGGGTCATCTGGGGGGAGCATCTGCAGATCTCCTGTCTGTCTGTCCATCTTGTCCATCGCAGGGTGAGGGTCCCGCTCCACGGGCCATGGTCCTGATCATCACTGCCCCCAGCTGCATTACCGTTTTGGCAGATGGGGCTGAAAAGATAAATGAGGTGGAGCAGAGGAGGCGGAGGCATGGCATGGTCCCTTCAAGCTCCCCCCGACAAGCCCCACGCACAAAGACCCTTCCCCAAGCTGCGTGTGAAAGTAGTTTTTCCTGTTGATTCGCTCCCCTTCTTTCTCCCTTTCCACTCTTGGGCTTTGTGCCGTCTCTGAAGGGACCTGAAAGAGCTTCTCCATCACCCGCCTCCGAAGGGCTTAGTGGCTGAAAGCTGGATTAGCTCCTCAAGCCTTCCCCTCTGTGCCTTTCAACAATGACATCTCCCCAGCCAGCACGAACAGACGCAGCAATTAGCACCAATTAAAAGGAGAGGCCGCCCGGGAAGTTCCCTTTGCTCAGCCTGGGGGCTGTGGGGTTTTGGACTCCAGTCCTGTGGCTGGGCATCGGTGATGGTGGCTCGTGGTGGTGGATGGTCGCATGTGGCCAGCGAGGGGTGAGGAGGAGGAGGAGGAGGAGTGTGGATGGATGCAGGAGCTTGGCAGCCCAGCGCCAGCTGAGGGGCAAGGTCAGTGTGCTGCAGCTCCCCAAAAATGGATCCGGATGGAGCCATGGGGCTGGTTGTGTTGGGATGTCACCTCTTGGCTCTGTGCTCCCCAGTGCCCTGCATGGGGGTTTGTCCCCGTCCAGTGCGTGGGAGTCTCTGCCTGTTCCGGCATGGGGAGAGACTGATGTCTTGCACCATGTCACGGTGCTGGGACATTCATCCACCCAGCTGGAGGTGAGGACAAACTTTACTTATTTCACTAGAATTTCTGCCTCTGGCTGGTGCTGGGAAATGCAGAGGTGAAAAAGCCGAGCGATGCCTGAGGTCTGAGCATCGGCATGGGGCGTGACCCCACCACGGCTGCTGTAGGGTGGCCGTGGTGTTCGTGGGGCCGTCGCCATGCTGCGGTGTTACAGGGATCAGGGTGACTTTGGCAAGCAGGCAGGTTTGAGGATGTTGCAGCGGGATGGCAACACTGGATTTGCCATGCTGCTGGCTTGGCAAGAGGGCATGGTGCCAGCTCCATGCTGCAGGGTGCATGGCCCCTTGCCCGGTAGTTAGAGAGTGGTGCCCACGGGCACAAGGGGCTCTCCTGATACCCCAGAAGAGCTACATGTCCCATGAGCAGCTTGCCCTTCCGATACTGGGATGCTCTGTGAACCCTCTAGTGTGCCCTGCCCGAAATGGGGGAAAGAGAAGGGCAGGGAAGAGAGAGACATGGCCCCATCCGTGTGTGTCCCCAGCTTTTAGCCTGGGTCAGGCTCAGTGAAGGATAATCCCAGTGAAGTGGCCAGCGGGAGCATGATCACCAAAATCCCGAGCCCCAGGTGATGCATCAGCTTTATTCTTGCAGAATCGTGCCTCCTGCTTCCCACTGCTGCTGCCGGTCCCTGCCTGCACACACAGAGCTGCTCAGGGCAGCCCAGTCACCCCCTTGGCGGGCTGTCCCCAAAACACCCGGCCTGGGGAAGGGGGCGCGGTTTGCGACACCCCAGCCACTGGAAGTAATTGATGCACTTGCTGGTGATGCGGGAGCTCTTGTTCCCTTTGTGGCCGCCACGGCGGGAGCGCTTCCCAGAGCACTGGGATAATGCATGGAGCTCACTTTGATCTGGGGAGCTCAGCAGGGAAGGGGCTGCGCTCTCCCGGGAAGACCTCGCTGGCTGCTGCTCCCTCAGCTGCTGGCTGTGGGGCTGTGGTGATGGGTCCGGGCTGCCAGTGCCTGAAAACACCGAACCCTGGAGTGGTGACGGGATTTAGAGGATCCCGGGTGCTTCCCCTGTGTCCTTTACCTTTTCCTGTACATGTTTGCATTCTTTTTCTGTCTCAGTGTTTCCCATGTAAAAATTATCCCAGAAATCCTCTAGTGAGCTGGCCCGGGCCGTTTTGCCCCACGGAGCAGGATATGTGCTGCCGGTGGCCTGGTAACAGCCGCATCTGCAGCCCCTTCCCTTGCTGCATCCCTCACAGTGGGATGCTCCTTGCCCTCTCCCCAGGAAATGTGCGGGAAACCAATGGGTTCCCAGCAGTGCTGGCCACAGTCCTTCACTGGGGAGAGCAGGGAGAAGTAGTTTGTGGTAGGTGATGGCTTTCGGAGGTGGGCAAGTGGGCACCGTCCCCCTGCCAGCCCTGCCTGGGCATCTGCTGTCCATGGGGTGCAGCCTCTGGGCAGATCTGGGGTGCAGGGGGAGGCAGCCACCACGGAGGGGATTAACGCTGCTCTGACCATCCTGAGTCCTGCTCCTCCCAGGATGGGGCTGCGGTGGCCCAGCCTTGTCCCTCGCACCCCTGTTCTCCGCTCGCAGCCCCTCAGGGAGGGCTCTCTGCTGCTGCTTCTCTTGCTTCTTGGCAGTAGATGCAAGCCCCGGCCCCCCTCTCCAAACAGCTTCCCCACGATGGAGGGGCAGTGCGGGTGGGAGGGAAGGGGCTTTTCTGGTCCCGGTTCCCATCCCCTGGCTGGAGGTGCAGCCCCATCCTGCCCCGCCATCCCGGACGGGCTCTCCTCCAGCCAAAGCAGGGGCGTAGCTCAAATCCGCTGCGGGTTGGCAGCAGCGGCCGGTCTAGGGTTTCGCTGAGCCGGCTGCCTGCGCTAATTATTCCCAGGGAACTTGTAGCAGTGGCGAGCCCCCCTCCTGCCCCGCAGGCTCCATCGCCTGCCATGTGTGTGTCCCAGTGCACGGCACTGCCTGGCCCGTGCTGGGATCCTTGCCCCAAACCCCCTCGTGCCGTTGACCTGGGCTCCTCCATCCGGGGCAGCCAGGGCCTGGGCAAGGGTTCAAACACCATCAAAAGGGGGACGGAATGTTGCTCCATTGCAAGGTGTCGAAGTTTAATTAGTCTGTTATTGCAAATTATTAGATCTTGTGATTGTTTAATTGATCATATGATTGTTTAATTGGGCATACTGTACAAGGGCGGAAGTGAGCTACCACGTAATTAGCCCCAAACTGTGCAATTAAATTCTTATTAATACCCCAAACAGCAGGGAACATTCAAGCCTTTAATTAGTGATTAACAGGAGACAGACAGAGCTTGCAACCGAGTCGGTGCTGAGGAACAGTGCAAGTATTTAGCTGGGTAAGAGGGGGGACCCGTCTGCCCTGATTAGTGCTGGATGGTTGTGCCAGTGGGGTGAGGGGACGGTCACGCGTGCTGGAGTGACCCTGTCCCCGAGTAGGGGACAGCCACCCACACCAGCGTGGCTGAGCCCAGTCAGGTCTCCTGTGTCGGCTGGGTGGGGACACACCCAAACACCCCCCACGCCTCGCCCAAGACAGAGGGCCACTAAGCTGGCGGCAGTTTGCCAGCACCCAGACCAGGCTGGAGGCAGCAGCACAGAGCAGGCAGTGTTGCTGCCTGCAGGCAGAGGGGATGATGGCGGGCAGCAAGAGGAGGTTTCTCCCCAAAAGCCAGCTCCCGGGAGGATTTGTGGCAGGTTCCCAGGGAAAGGTGGCCTCAGGGCTGATGGGGACGTGCCAGCCAGGAGGGTTGGTGATGCCGTGAAAAGGCCCCAGCCAGTTACTCTCTCACCGATTAAACTGGAGGCAGAGAGAGACCCACAGCGAGGGCAGCGAATCATTTACCTGACCTTTCTCCTCCACTGCCCATCGCCCGCTCTCTGGGCTACCATCCCCTCTCCTTCCCCAGGGGCTTGCAGGACCGGCCCTGAGCATTCCCAGCGGGATGGCTAAGGTGCCTTCTGGGGAGACCCAGTTGGCTTCTCAGCAATACAAAGGAATAACAAGGCCCCTCTACCCCCAGGAAACTGTTCCTTTGTCCCAGTTATGTGCGGCTGCCATGGTTCAGGGGCATGAACCACCCTGACTTCTTCCTGTCCTGTTATCTGGTGAGTGCAAGAGCAGCTTGAACCTCGGGGTACTTGACCGCATCTCTCCTGGCCCCGGCAAAGCCTGGCTGAGTGTTGGCATCCCTGGCACAGCAGCATCATAGGCTGCCTGGGACCATGGGCAGAATTTGCTGCTCTCCCTCCAGGCACCACATCCCAGCGCCTTGCCATGTGTTAGAAATTTCCTCAAGTCCCTGTTTTTCACCAGCACCAGGGAGAAAAATGAGCTTAGAAGGCACAAGCTCCCAAAGGCACTTACCGCCACGCTGGGGTGTTATTTTGATGCTTGCCATGTGATTTTTACCCTAATCTCATCACTCAGGGGAGCTGAGGTTTGAGCGCGTGGTGCCAGCAGCACTGAGGCCGGCACCAACCTTTCGCTCAACTCCTTTAAGCCTCCGTAAAGGCTCTTTTTTAGGGCTCCGGCTTTCTTCCTCTGGTGTTTCTGAGGTCGGAGGGACGAGGCGGGCGAGGAAGCGTTTGATCTGCGTGGGCTGAAGCTCCCACCGGCGCTGCCAGCCAGGGGGGAGGCAACTTCACACGCCCGCCAAACCAGGCCTAAGCAGTTAAATCTGGGCTGACACGTTAATGAATTTCACAGTACGCCTGGAAAAACTCTCACCCAACCTCAATTTACCAGCACGGGGAGGGGGCCGGGTCGGGGGGAGGAGGGCGCTGCATTTTGCCGAGGGAAATCTTGTTCCCATTATCTTTTTGCGAGAGTGTTAAGCAGGAACGGGCATTGCTTTGCCTTTTTATCTCGCACAAATGGAACCAGGCGGGGGGGCTGCGCGGTTCCTGTAGCTAATGAAGAAATAGCGTGCGTGTGTGTGTGTTTGCAGGAGCGTCCATGCGTGTGCACGTGTGCGAGCAGCTGTGCGTGCATATTGGTGCATGTGTATGTATGTACAGATGTGAGTATGTGTGTGATTGTGTGTGATGGCATGTGTGAGCATGCACGTTTGTGTGCACATGTAATGGTGTGTGGCTATTCCTGTGTGCATCTGTGTGCATGCGTGTTCACACGTACACGTTTGTGTGCACATGAGCTTGTGTGTGCGCGGTTGTGTGTGCACACATGTGTGCATGTGCACACGTGGGTTGCTGTGTGGGCTTCTTTGCGTGTGTGCACATGCACACAGGGTAGAGCCTTGCAAAGAAGGACTTTCGGGGCTCCACTGCTGAGCCAGCAGGGACAATGCTGTCCCACCCCCCGGCACGAGGGCCGGGTGGTCCTGC